TTATTTTTACTTCTTTAACATTTTCTTTTGCATTTGTAATCACATTATCTATACAAGAACCTCCAGCTTCAGTTGGTCTTGTTATTTCGTTAAACTGATAATTACAGTTAAGGGGGGTCAGGACAAAAGTTTGTCAATTCTAGGGCTCTAAAACCATGCGTTCTGTAGGAATATGGTGAGTGTGGGACTGTCGACAGGGTAAAGCATTTAACTATTGGTCTATTGTGCCCATTTTCCAGGCTCAAAAAGTATCCTAACTCTCAAGAGTCACCCTGAACGACAATTCTAGAAAAGTGTTACAAAACAGTTCAAAATCTTGCGCGCAAGGTTTCTCGGTTATGGTTTGCACTACAACGCTGAAACTTTTCCTGTAAGTTAGCCATATGAATACCTAAAACTTGTCACAGGATTTTCTTGATAATCTCACTTGCTGATTTTTAATGACAAATTTAAGTTTCATGACCAAAATCATGCCGTTTTCACCCCTATAACATTTTTCTAAAAATCAATGGGTAGGAATTTTGAAAAAATCCTGTGACAAGTTGTTGAAAATACTGTAAATATGAAGCCTGCAAAGTTTCATAGCTGTGGCGTTAAGGGTGTAGGAGAAACTCTGCGCGCAAGGTTGAAAAGTAAAGTTCAGAGAAAAACGCATCTAAAGTTGACGTTAATGGGCAATTTCAGGTTTGACTCTTCACAAGAAAAAATCCCACGGTCACAATTTTTAGAATTTCTTTACAAACTAAACAGCTATAGACTCAGGAAGAGTCAGAGAATTTTTTAAAAAATAAAACCGAAAATCATTTTTTTTTGTCCTGACCCCCCTTAAAAGACTCTATCGTTTGAAGGATCAAGTTTCTTATTTTTCTGTCCCTTATACAGTCATTTCTGAATTCGATATTAAAGTCTCCAAACATGAACACTTTTTTATCACTATTTTGCATTGCTAACAAATCTTGCAGTTTTTCATTAAACAATTGGAAATTATTACAACTTGGCGATCTATATAGACCCACTACAAGTATTTGAATAGTTCTGTAGTTTAAAGTGATTGCGCAGACTTCACATGTCTTTTCACAACTTAATTGTTCCAGGTCTAGTTTTGTTACTTGTATATTTCCACAGAGGTCTGATTTTACAAAAATAGCTACTCCTCCGCTTCTAAAAACTTTTCTGCTGTAATAACTTACTAATACATAGTTGGTTATGGTACAGCATTTCATCTCCTCTTCTTTCAGACCATGTTCAACAATTATAAAAATGTCAGGTTTATGTTCATCAGCAAAGCTTCTTACTCTATTCTTTTTTCTTCTAATTGACTGTATGTTCATACATTGAATATTCAGATTCAGTTTGTTTCTTACTCTTGTTGCATGTTCTGTCTTATATTTGTCATTTTTAATCAAAAAGGCCAAAGCCTGCATCTTCCTCATCTCCTTCCTCTTTGTTCTTGTATAGGATCTTCATTATTTCTTCAGTCAGTTTTTCCTTCCCTTTCACGTTTAGGTGTAGGCCGTGTTCAGTAAAATGAAATCTTCCCAGGATGGTATTTAAGTCTATGTATTGGATCCTCCCCGGATCAATTAGTTTTTGTCTTTCCTTTTCGATCAGATTTTTTAGCTTTTCATTGTACCTGAGAATATCATTCCTGTAGAACTCTTCGTGGTCATACCTCATAGGGGCACTAGTAATTATAACTCTGGTATGATTAGCCTGAGAGATCATTTCAATTCTATTATTCTCATAGAGCTCTTCATCGTTTGACCCAGTGACAAAGACAATACAGTCATCTGGCGTCAGATTGGCTCTTTTTCTGTTTAGCTCTTCTGTAATGTTCCTAGTTGTTGCTCCAGGATTAGCTAATACAAGTGTGTTGAATTCTCTTAGTTCTTGGTTCATGATCTTTCCTAGATTTTTTACTTGGCTATCACCATGGACTTCTATTTTTGGCTTTACGTTTATTTCTTCTTTCTTCATTCTCTTGTTCTTAATCGTCTCTCTATACTCCTTCTCTTCTTTTTCACCAAGATAGCACACAGTTACTTCGACATTGGTTTCTTGAAATTCTATTTTAAGTAGCTCCATTACTTCCTTCCATTTTAGTCTGTCTAGACCACAACCTATTTTTGGCATCCAGATCTTTTTTATTTCATTGTCTACACAGTGGCTTCTCAGTTCTTGTATTGCTTTTTTAAAATCGTTCCATTTAGGTTTGTCTTTAGATTTCTCCTTGGTAATTAGGTGTATTATCTTTCTTCCTGCCCCAGTCGTCTGAACGGCTACTCTTCCAGTAGTATCAATTTCCTTAAGCTTTTCTTCCAGTTGGTATCTTTCTTTGATTCGTTTGGCAATTCCATCTGACAGAAGCAGATCTCTTCCAACACAGTGTACCATCGTTATATCAATTGGAGCAGTCAGGATATCCTTCTCGATCATTCTTATTTTGTTTACTTCTGACTTTACTGAAGTTCTTGGTTCGATATTAACAACATTTTGGTTATTATCCATCTTGATTTCCAAATTTCTTCTGGCTGATTCTTGCTTTTTATTACACTGACACCTTTCACTCTCTAACTTCTCGATTCTACTCAACAAACTGTGGACTTTGTCTTGAAGTGAACTTAGACCTTTCTCCAGCTCTTTTACTCTAGTCTCTTCAATAATGGTACCTTCAACTGATATGCTCGATGCACTCGATGAGTTTAGGCTAAAAGATCCATTACTGTCATCTTCATCGTCCTCATCTACATGTTCATGAGTCCCCTTAACCTCACCAAGCACATGGCACCGCTGACAGGTATAGGAATTTGTAGTTTCTGGGTTTAAATCTTCACTTTCTTTCGTATTATTCAAGCACTTTAGGTGAATATACTTCTCACACTTTACACATTTAACTGTACTTTGTGCACTGATATTTAAATTATTTTTACACTTCAAACACTGGTCTCTAGCCATGTCACCGCCTTGTGTGGCTCAGAAGATAAAGATAACACACTGCTAATTGTTGAGTCCAAAAAATCTTTTGATTAACATATACTCACTTTGAAAACGTTACCTGTCTTTCCTTGTTTTTGATTTGTTATTTGGGAGGTTTATTGCAATTTATGAAAAATTTAGTTTTCCCAATAAGTCATGAGTGCTCATAAGGCAGAAGGTCTATGTTACATGTTAAAATGAGACCTCAGAATAAGTGTTCCAATTTTTTTGGTCACTTACAATAATCTGTGCTGATACTGAAAAAGTTTTTGAACATGTTAATGTTCCTTATTTTTTTTTTACATTTCAGAAGGTTCTTGATCTAATTCTTCAAAGTAGCTGAAATTACATTAGTTTCCTCATTAGCATTTGTTTAAAACTGTTCTTTAAATTTTACAAGAACAATCTTAGTGATTTGTAACTTAACTTACTGTGAACCATCAATAATGTCGTCCTTATAAATTTGACTAATTCTCTTACCACATAAACATTTTTCCACAGTTCGCATGTTTTTTAGGCAGAACTCACAACGCACTGCTTTGAAGTCGATGGTTTCAAAGAGTTTATGGACGCTAACTTTTGTTAGTAAATTTTTGATGAAATTTAAGTTTTCTTCTTTTTCAGCACATCCTCCACAAATTTAACTATCATACTGGATTTTAATAAACAAATTTGGTACACGATTTTTGAGCATGAATGAAAGTCTATTGAGATTGAGTTGTGTTCAAATAAGATATCCGTTCTTTTTCGTGAGAGTGAATCTTTGAAAAAACTTGTGTTATAGAAGCGCCATTTCCATAGTTACATTTTGCATTGTTAGAATTTTTATGAAGACATCCTTTGTGCCTAGTATTTTTTCATGACTACATTTGTAATGAAGTTATATTTCATATCCATAGATTTCGACAAGTAGGTAGTAATACTTGAACGGGAATTTGTGTGGACCAGAGCAGATGTTGCGGACAGAAAGGGTTAGCTGTGTACCTGGTGTGTTACCATTTTGCCGATGCAGACGAGGTCACCTGTGGTCGGGTTCCTTACTGCAACATGACTGAACGCAGTGGCGAAACTAACCCAAATAGTAGTCCAACAAAATGGAAACGATATTCACCTTGTGCATCTTTTCCTCCTTTGCAAAGTACAGCTGGGCGGGGAGGTTTGGTCAAAGGGTTGGGGTGAGGTGTACCATTCATCTATTTATTGCCTATTGTAGGCCCCTGGGTGGTACACCACCGTGCTGTCAATGGGCCAGGTTGTCTGCTGGAGGTGTGCGGCTGGGGCAGCCTTTTGCATCTGGGCCTGCTGCAGGGCCTGCACCTGCAGCTGGTTGCAGGCAGCCACCAGTTGCCCGACAATTGGTGGGTCCTGTGGCGGCTGCGGCGGTGCGCGGTAGTGCTGGTGTGGTTGTGGTTATTGCTGCTCGGCGGCACAGCGTTGCCGGTTGCGATCCTTGCCCTTGGCTCGGAAGGTCGCCCATCACATCTGTGGCCGTGTGGGCTTGAGTCGGGGCCTTGGCGGAAGCCTTGGCGGAACCGGAGTGGCCTTTGAAGGTCCTGGCGCCGTCGGTGGTTCGGGCCTGAGAACTTGACGGGACGGCGCCGGCTAGAGCTGAGCGACGGGCGGGCAGTCGGTGTCCGCCGAGAGAGTGGAGTGAGGTGGGGTCGGTAGCGGTGAGACGGAGCGCTGCGTACGGGGGAAATGGCAGCTCGCGTCATTCGGGTTGGGTTGGGGTTTGGCTACTGATTCTTCGCTCTTGGCTTGTAATTTGGGTTCTCGTGTCTACCTTCCGTTTTAATTCTTCGAACATCAAAACGACCACGTGAACAGAAAGGTTAAACTCAGTCAGCTGAAATGGCATATGTAAATACAGCAATATGTTACTTGCCAACACCTTCAAAATTCAAAGCAACTTTGAAATCACAACACTTCTTTGTAGTCTTAAATAGTGCATTCTGCCGTCTTGGAAATACTTGTGAACCAATAGTAATAATTTTTGAAGTTAATTAATTTTTGACAACAATTGAAGAGTTGGGATTTCACAGTTCTGGCAACTTTTTTCACAATGAATTTGTCGTAAAATTCAGTTATTTCATTAATCGATTTAATGTTTTCAGTTTGTTTCATTAGTTTTTCATTGTGTTTTACAGATGAGTTTTGCTAAATTGTTAGCTCAATACCAAGAAAATGTTACTTACGTTGCGAATGGGAGGTTGCCTCAAGGGGTGGCGTTTCTTGTTGAAAGGGGTGAATTGTACACTGATCGTAAAGGAGAAGTGCATCCCACTGTGATAGTGGAGCACACCTCTAAAATCAAGTTTAGGTTGTACTTGCAACCCAAATACACCAGGTAAGGGCATGATGAAATGGAGGTCCTTAATGACTCTATTAAGGATGGGGAAGTAACCTACATGATGTCTCAGAAGGAGGCCACTGATGATTCGCTAATGGTCGACTTTTGCACAAAAGAACAAATTCAAATAATGGAAGGAGTAGAAATATATGATCGTAAGTTTATTAAATTATTCTTTATATATTAAGTGTTGTACTGCATATTTATTTATTTGCTCTTTTTGTTATAGCTCTGAAGGAGTCTCACAAATTGAAGCCGCAATCACCGGAGAAATCTCCATTTAAGAGGCGGGTGATTATCAAAAAAACCATGTAGTTTCGTTCCAAAGCATCTCATGTCCGTCTCTATTGTGCTGGAGCCACACCGTAGGTGTAGTATGACGTCTTTTTGGGAGCTCTACAAGGGGCCACCAAGAATCTCGAACAATTTCATCACTGGTAGGAGCACGGTCGATCCAAAGGGGTCAAAACTAAACTCCGATGCTTTCCACGCTCCCCTATTGGTTTGAAAAGCCGCCTATTTTGGGAATATGGCAAAACTGCAGACTCAAATGTCCCACCCAGTTCTAAAGTCCACATTCAAAGGTACTTTCACCCTGAGTGTTGTTTTTTTAGCTGTGATGCACGCAGAGCTACAGGGGCTCAAAGTCGTTCCACGGGTTTTGAGGTTCGGGCTTCGGAGTTTATCAGCCACCACTCCACAGCCAAGACGGATTCAGCAGAAGGGTTGGTAGCACTACATCACGAAAGTATGACAAGAACCCAACTTTTTCCGACCGAGAAGTTGGCGCGAAACGTGATCTGCTGGTGGTGAGACGGAGAGAAACTTCTATTTCTGGTACAAATATTTTTGCGAATAAACTCCGTTCCTGCTCTAGTTTCCATTCTGGAAGACAGAATCGAAAACTCTCTTAAAGACCTTTTGATAATAGTGTACTGTTAACGTCCTATACAGTCGTAATAAGTTTGGGGTGACCTGTTCGGGCAGGAGGGCCGATTTAGGCTCTCTTCAGAACTAAACTCCGATGCCATTATCTCTAATTATTCTGGGCGAACAGATTTCGGCCTTTTGAGAGATCCGTAGCCAATAAAATAGCCATCTTTCTGTGTGTCATACCCAAACTGACTATCCGAATTGAATTTCCAAATTTTGAATGTACAGTATGGAGACTAGGTTAGGTTTTCGTTTGTAACAAACTCACATTTGTGGTTTTGACGGTTTTAAGCGATGACAGCTGTTACATGTCTGAAAGAAAAAATAAATTTTAATTCCCGTTTTGTTTTTCTTTTTTCAGGTACACTTTTTCATTAAAAGTCTAATCAGAGATGAGGTATTCTTTGAGGGCCAGGACCAAATTGCTCACACATGAGGATACAAATGACCCTCCATTAAAATTAAAGAAGAAACCTGAAAAAGGGAGGAAAAAAATAAAGAAGCAAACTAAGAGGGAGAGACTATCAAAAAAAATGTTAGCTCAAAAACTAAGAAGAGCGAAGATCAAGTTGGACCCCAAACTACACGAAGCTCAGAAAATGCAAGAACGTGAAAGATGGAAGAGAAGAAGAGCAGCTGGGAAAGTAAAATTAATACATGACATGACTCCAAGGGAAAAAAGAATTGTTAGAATGAGACGTAAAATCAGTGCTAGGAAGCATTCAGCAAAGCAATTAAGAACAGCAAGTGAAATGACATTGAGCGTGCAACAAGTTGCAACAGCGGAAGTAGTTTCATCAGTAGTGTTTCAAGGCCCTTCCCTTGCTGAACAGCAAACTCCATCTATCTCTTGTTATTGTGCAATCAACAAAAATACTAAAAATATCAAGAGGGCCAACCAAAAAAATGCTTTAAGGAAAAAGAAGAAAAACATATCCAAAACATACCAAAGATGTGTGACTCTTGAAAAAAAATTTACAAATCTGCAGAGAACTCATTGGCGTTTATTGAAAACCCAGAAAAAATCAGAACCTTTGAGTGATTCTCCTCCAAGTAGAATAAACAGAGAATTTAAAGGAAGGCAACTGGATCCAATCACAAAGAAAAGACTTATATTTGGAGAAGTTTTAAAGGATCAAATTGCAGAGTCTGCAAACAATAAATCAACCAAAACCAAACAGGCATTTTACAAGTTATTATCAGGTAAAGTTATAAAGAAATATAGAATGCTTCACATGACGAAGAATATGTTATCTAGACCGCTACTTCAGAAGTATATGAAGAATGATGATGGTTTGAACTATACCAGAGTCTCCAAGATCAAAGTCCGACACACAGAAGTCAAGGAATTTTATGCTAGAGATGACATTAGCTCAAAGTGTCCCGACAAAAAAGCATATGTGATTTCCTACAAAAATGGAAAAATGAAGAAACGGAAGAGGATTTTGCAGGGGAAACTCACAGATCTTTATTCAAAATATTCATCTGAATGTTCACAAAAAAATGTTAAACCTTTGTCATACACAGTATTTTGTAGACTAAAGCCTTTCTTTGTTGTTCATCAAAAAGCCAGTGAGAGAGACACTTGTCTGTGTAAGTATTGTGAAAATTTTACAATGAAAGTTGAAGCTTTACACAGAATTAGTGTTATCAGAGAAAGCACTCCGTATAAAGTTATGTCTGCTGTTACTTGCAATGCCCAAAATGATGATTGTTTAATTAGAAAGTGCGTAAGCTGTAAAGATAAGAGTATAGATTTTTCAACTGAAGTCAGTAATGAAACTATTGTTAAATATTCAGAATGGGATAAGAATGTTGATAAGAAAACTGTTAAAGTTGACAAAAGTTCAGATCTACTAATGTTTAAGAGCATCTTCTTGGACAGTCTAATTACATATCAGCATCACTACTTCAAACAGAAACATCAACATGAAGTATTGAAGAACAAGAGAGAAAATTTGGCTGATGGAGAAATTTACATACATTGTGACTTTTCTGAAAACTATGGCTGCAAATATACAAAAGAGATTCAGCCAATGTATTATGGTGGTAATAGAGAAGAAATTTCTATTCACACTGGGGTGCTTTATACCAAAAATAAAAGCTACGCTTTCTGTACGTTGTCTAGAAATGGGCGCCATGATGCACCTGCTATTTGGGCGCATCTTCTGAAAGTGTTTAAACATTTCATGCCAAAGTTCTGTGGTATCAGTAAAGTTCACATTCAAAGTGACTCTCCAA